GCTGAGGTCTAAGCCTACAAATATAATAACAGTCACCAACATAGTTGTTTAAAGAATATACATTTTTTATTCAGATTAACTCTTGCTTTTGACTTGTTGGATTTTAAATGATGTGCACTTTCAAAAGGCCCTGATGTGAAGTTTAAGAATTTGGTGAATAATGGCCTGTTTGTTATGAAGTGCAGAGTGCTACAGCAGCAATGTTTTTTTGTAGGCCAACCTGAAAGTTAGCATCACTCTGGCTCACTAGACAAAAAGCCACTGCCAGTTTGTTGGTAAACATTTGGACTATACAGAAAATAAGCTTTGTGAGAATTAAAGATTCATAAAAAATTCATAAAAAAATCACCAACATCAACCATAACCAATGGTTAGCATAGCACTTAACCATAAACCTTATCTTAGCCATTAAAGAAAAGAAATACTGACGTCGATGCAGAGAAACTCATATCTGGGTATCAGGACAGAGTGTTGCAGTGTCACATTACAGAGGGAAAGAAACGTGAAATTTTAAGAAATAAAATAGTGCAAATTGAGTTTAAAGCACAACAGGGTTAAATTTATTCTCAACATGTTTGTCTGTAGTCTAAAAATGCTGAATAAGACAAACTTGTTTGTAACAAACTCCTTTTGTAACAAATGTTTCTGATTATTCCTTCATAGTTTTTGTTTGTTTGAGTATTTGACAATGGTAAGATTATCTGACTTGTGACCATAAATATCTTAAAGGTCTAGTTTATACTGAGTACTTCTAGAGCCTGATATATCTAAAAGAATAATGTCAGTAATTTATAAAATAAATAAATAAATAAATCTGTGATTCCAGTTTTCGACACTGAAACTTTGTCATTATGGGAAATGTCAGAACTGACCGCTGGAATTGCTTTACTGCCACAGAGAGCTCTTGATGTGTGACACTATGAGGTTATCTGTTCAACAACTGTCACAGTGGTGACTTGCAGTGTAGTGCACTCTCCATGTGTCTTTTAATTGGCAGCATTATTATTTCATGATAGACTCTCTGACTCTTCTGTGTTTCTTGAGTGTGTCTTTCTCTCAGTCAGTCCTTGTCTTGTTTTCCCCTTATGTGTTCATAATGGTAACTACATGTGATGCTGTTTGTTGTGAATCTTGGCTCTGAGAATCCACGCTGTGGATTTTTCATTTATTACCAATCCAGTACCTCTGTTTCCCAGGGTAGTTAGAGCAGGCATCGACGAGGTGATCGAACTCTGTGCAAAACTCCTCTAGTTCCCCATTTTCACCAAATGCTCCCCACTCGACATTGACACACATGCGGCCATTATCGCCCTCCACCAGTTCGATGTTATGCATTTCCTCCATGTAGCAGGCATTGGTCCCTGTGCCTGAAATTAATCAGACAAAATACGAGGACTTTCATAGAACAGCTTGACTACAAAAATGATGAATAAATAGAAATATACCAGACAATGTTTGCAAAAAATAACTAAACTTTGATGCTTAAAAAAGACTTCAAAGAAGGAAGGAGGTGGCCAAACTTACCGACGATGAGTCCCACCTCACATTTGGGGTCCTCGTAGCCGCAAGTCATCATGGTTCCCACTGTGTCATTAACTACTGCCACAAAGTTCAAATCAAATTCCTGGAAGCAAAGTAAACAAACTTATTCATATCTATGAACTGGAACTGAGCATAAGCATAAATATTAATATTATCCACAGCACTAGAAAGACATTATTCGCTTATCTACACTCTTCACTCATCTGCAGTTCTAATGGTTGCGGGTCTGAGAATCCTCATATTGCTTTAGTGCATCATCTAACACTGTGAGCACCGGAAAACAGAAGATATAAATCATAGTTTGGTAAATTGTCAGATTATATAATAAGATTCTGTACTTTTATAACAAGCGCTACTTACATTACTTTATCTTACATTTCAGCCACAAACAAACACACACACACACACACACACACAAACGTAAATATATACATATAGACACATATGTATATATCTCTCTGTGTGTGTACATATACAAAATAACTCAAACATAAATTCAAAGAATC